GTATATATTTTATATTTTCTATGAAGATCAAAATGGTAATATATTAAAAGCTGTTAGTCTCTTTAACGTCAAGTTAGTGACATGGTGAGTTTTAGACATTTTGAAAAGTTGTGGTGAGTTTAAGAGAAATGCTGAAAACTCATGTTGAGTTTTTGACAATTTTCCTTAAATTAAAAATAAAGTTCTAACATAAAATTTAAACAATAAACCTATTTTACATCTAATTAAGCTTAGAATAATAAATATTGAACGGTATAAAACATACTAATGCCAAAAAGAAAGAGTCTTTTTGGCCATTCCAAAACTTTATTTATTTATTTATTTTTTCTTTTGTAAAACCAGAGGCCAATTGTAGACAATCCGTTTTAAGGACCAGCTTAGAGGCCCTACACCTTTTCACCGACAAAGACCTCCCACAACTCCAACTACTTTCTACTTTTGCTTGAAAAGATGCTAAAGTTGAAGAGTTTTTACATTTTAGTGCTAGAAAAGAACCATTTCCCTTCCTAGTGCTTAACTGCTTATGATAGCACCAAAAAGAAGAGTTGCAATTTCCCAAACAAAACCTCCATCTATGTTTAACTTAAATAGCCTTGTTCCGGAGGGTATCTAATCTTAAAATCAGTGTTTTCAACTCCTAGTTGATCTGGCTAGTTGAACTATTTGGACTATCACCTAGTTAAGATTCTAGGTCCAATTTGTATGAAACCCGTTATATGGTCAAAAACCATTCAACTTGAGTGATTCAACTGTTAACTCATTTGACATGATCATTGTATATGCAAACTGTAAGAGGCCATAACTTTGCCTTCAGATTTTCAATTGGGGTTACCTTTTTTTGGATAACTTTTTCCAAGGAGCCTACAACACCTTATCCCACCAATTTTGCAAAATACCTTTTTTGGCTTTAAATTACAATTTTTAATATTTTTATAAATAAAAATTAAAAATTGAATTAAAAAATATTAATTAAACATAAAATAATATTTATATATACATATATATAAATATTTTGGCTTACCCCAATTCAGATTTTCAATTGGGGTTACCTTTTTTTGGATAACTTTTTCCAAGGAGCCTACAACACCTTATCCCACCAATTTTGCAAAATACCTTTTTTGCCTTTAAATTACAATTTTTAATATTTTTATAAATAAAAATAAAAAAATGAATTAAAAAATATTAATTAMACATAAAATATTATTTATATATACATATATTACATCTAAAAACTAATTATACATTTTTATTGATAAAATACATCACACATATAACCCAAGACCCAAAGGCAAAAACGGTTCAGCCTTCGCATCAGTTTCTAAAACATTGTTAAAAACATCAAAGCTTTGTGTAGAATCATCTCCCATCCTGAGTCAATCTACCCCAGAGCATCAAAACCGACCTAGAGTCGAGGTCATGATGATTATTATTAATATAATCAACAACATTAAAGAACCGATTTTTAGAAGATGAATTACAGACAACATTATTGATGTAACCGTTTCTGGTCACGTACCATTTTTTCTTTTTCTTTTTTTTTTGTGATGTATCAATTTTTGGCTAAGTACTTCGTCATTTGACTTGCTCCCAGGTGGCCTATGACTCAGAGTATGATGGAGATCCCCGGCGGCGAACTGCCTGGTGGTGAGCTATTTGGTGACGAGCGCCCTGGTGGTGAGCTACCTGGTGACGAGCTCCCTAGTAGTGAGCTACTTGGCGACGAGCTCCCTGGTGGTGAGCTACTTGGTGACGAGCTCCCTGGTGGTGAGCTACTTGGTGACGAGCTCCCTGGTGGTGAGCTACYTRGTGACRARCTCCCWRGYRGTGARCTACYTRRTGRCGAGCTCCCTGGTGGTGAGCTACTTGGTGACGAGCTCCCTGGTGGTGAGCTACCTGATGACGAGCTCCCTAGTAGTGAGCCACCTTGATGAGCTGTTGTGTGCTGCCTTGGTGGCGAGCTGCCTGGTGTAGTGCAACCCGACTGCCCTCTGCATGAGATGATCTGCTCCTCTTTGCGAACGACAGGAGCTGAAGTTCCCATCCTCCCTGCGAGAGATGATCTGCTCATCTTTGTGGACTGCAGGAACTGAGGGACCTACGAGAACTGAATCAGAGGACCTGAGGGTGTTTACCCAGCAGGGCCACTCCGATGGCTAAGTTAGCACTCTGATAGTAGAGAGCTTGAAGATGATATTAGAGAAATGGAGCAAGGGTTACCTCCATTTTCCATCCCCTTTCCCCTCTGGTGGGTCGGAGCTCTTATATAGTGGTGTTTTGACAGATCTGGCGTAATCGCCTCTGATTCTCTGTCGTAGCCATTACTTGCCAGGGATGAGCTGGTGGGCGTAGGTAACCGTTGCAGGGTACGACCCTATCAGACATGAGGTGTTATCAGAGTTGGTAGGCATGCCGCCGCCTGGCCAGAGACGTGGGTGTAGTCTCCAGATCTGGCATGTACGGTTGTCAGGTAGGAAATCTTCTTGTGATACGCCAAGCTGCTCTGCAACGAGCTACCTTGCGCCGATATACTTTTCACCGAGTTGTCAGTAATGTGCCGAGGTGCTTCTACCTGAGGCAGGGCTTTCTACCCGAGGCAGGGCTTCGTGGCCTAATAGGAGGCGAGATGCCTGTAAGTGGCGAGCTACCTGTGGTGAGCTGCCTATGCCGAGCTACCCCTAAGTGGCGGGCTGCCTATGCCGAGCTACCTATAAGTGGCGAGCTGCCTATAAGTGTTGAGCTGCCCCTAAATGGCGAGCTACCTTTGCCGAACTGCCTGTAAGTGCCAAGCTGCCCCTAAGTGGCGAGCTACCTATGCCAAACTGCCTGTAAGTGCCGAGCTGCCCCTAAGTGGCGAGCTACCTGTGGTGGACTACCTATGCCGAGTTACCTGTAAGTGGCAAGCTGCCTGTAGCTAGCTCGAGTTGTCTAGTTGTCAAGAGGCTACACTTAGTTGGCATGAGGTGCCAGGTGTCATAATTTTATTGGAGGGCCAAATCCACCCTCATCAATTATCAAATCCATTATCTCAACCCACACCCAAACCCAAAGCATGTAATATAAAGCCACCCTCAAAACCACAACATTTAGGCCTTGTTTGATTCACGAGAATAGGGGTTTGGAATCAAAATCAAAATGGGCTATTTCCTATTTCAATTTCAACTGTTTGGTTGGCTGGAATCGATACCCCATTCCCATTTCTAATAGAATGGCATTCCCTAATTTGAGGGAATGGCCATTCCCTCCCCCTCCATTGGGAATGAAATCTCATTTCTTTGATTCCAATTCCCATTCCTATTTGAACCAAACAGACTATGGGAATAAATCATTTCGATTTCGACTATGAACCAAACATACCCTTATAACCACTAATATTCTAAACTTGGCCTTGGAATTAGGGGTTCTCATGGTTCGGTTAACTGACCTGTGGACTTAATTTTGAAACAGAACTGGGGTTACCAATTTTTGGAAAACCGATAACTGAAAGCGAGTCGAAGCCGATTGATTAACCGGTTGACCGGTTTGGTTAACCATTGGTTCGATTCATCGGTTTTTTGATTTTTTATATTTTGCAATATACATTATAAAAATATATAATAAAAAACTAGAAATATATATAAAATATCATATTTTAAGAAAATAAATAATATATTATATATTATAAATATATATTTATATATAATGCATATTTTATTAATTTATAATATATAAAAAATATATATAATATACATAAGTATATGTAAAATATATAAAAGGGTAAATTACAAAGACCCCCCCTGTACTATGGGGTCTTTGTCCCCCTATACTATGGGGTTTATGACAAATACCCCCCTGTACTATGACCTTGAGACAATAACCCCCTTTTGTTAGCTTTTTGTTAAAATTCACCGTTGTAAAATTTTTTAATTCCCGTATTACCCTTGTAGACAATTGGGAGAAAACACTATTCATCATCCCGATCTCACGATACACGAACAACGGCGATGATGAGGGGAGAGAAAGGGAGGTCGGGGATTACTACGGCTACTGTTCTCTACCTCTGCAAATGGGGTTCCACTAGGATTACCTCCTGTTCTTTCGTTTATTAACTTGCACTTTGCAGGGCGGCGATCCGATGATTAGGGATGTGAAAAGGGCAGAAGATCCAAACATCAATTCACTGGAAGATCCAAAGGCAAAAGATCCAAACATCAATTCCTACTTAGTTTCCCAGATTTCCCTCTCTTTCTTTATTTGTTCCTGTCTTTGAACAAGACAACAATACATTCCTCGATGGGAAAACTAGGTAGGAATTAATGTTTGGATCTTCAACCTTCATCTTCTGTCTTTCGTTTATTACCCCCCTGAATTTGGATCTTCCGGTGTTTTTTCTGCGTGGAAATGGATCGGTTTGGGCACTAATAAAAGTTTTGGATTACTTGCCATCGTCATTTTAGAAGAACAACAACGACGGATAAGAAAGCACGTATTGCAGAGGTAGGAAACTGAAGCAACGGATCAGAGACAAGGGGTAATCCTAGTGGAACCCCATTTGCAAAGGTAGAGAACAGTAGAGTGGCAGTAATCCTTGATCTCCCTTTCTCTTCTCTTATCGCCGCTACTGTTCGTGTGATCGTGAGCTCAAGGAAGATGAATAGTATTTTTCTTCCAATTGTTTACAAGGGTAATATAGGGATTAAAAAATATTGTAACGTCGGATTTCAACGAAAAACTAATGAAAGGGGGTTTTTGTCTCACGGTCATAGTACAGGGAGTCTTTATCACAGACCCATATATGTATACGGATCAGATCATTTAACCACCGATTTTTTATATTGATTAACCAAAACTAAACCGATATCTTCAGTTTTTTAAGAATATTAAATCCACATTTAACTGGATTTTCAGTTAGATTTCGATCGATTTTTAGGTTTTTCTTGCTCACACCTACTTGAAACAATAGCAACCAAAGATTCCAACTCACATTTCCTACAAACATAACAAAGTTGCAGAACCAGCTGTTGCTCCAGCAGTTGTGTACTTTTCTCTTGTGGGCCAAGGCGGGTCACGGGTTGGTTTCCATCTATTCTCTTCTTTGATTTCAGTTATGCAGGTAGTAGGCACCATGCCACAGCCAACCATGAAGCCGCTTTGATGCCGTGATGGGTGGGTGGTTGGAGATAGTCTCCGTGGTTGAATGCGAAACACATGCTGCAGCGCAAACAAGATGTTTGTCTTTTGTTATGACTGTTGGAATACCAAGTAGTCACTAGTGTGTAGTGACCACTAACCACATACCATTACTGTGGTGGGCGTGGCGATAGAGTTCAACATCAAGCCGGAACTCATACAGCAATATGCCGTGGTTTGGAAGTTGACATTTTAACAAACACCTTTCATGCTGTTATCAATCATATTATCATAGCCCCAGTGCGGAATTGTCTTGCAAAAGAGACACGGAAAGATACATCCCCACTTGCAAATTTTCAATGGGGAGGTGAAAATTTGAGTTCGTCAATTCTTTCTTTTACTTCCCATTAAAATCTAAATTATGGTGCAGATGTACTCCTTCAAAACTATAATAAATTTGAGAGTTTGAGGAGGAAGACCAAGTGGTTCTTTGAGCTGATTGAATTTGATAATTAGTTTTTTTTTTTTTATTTGTAATGGAAATTGATGGACCTACATTTACATGGCCAACGCAACAGTCATGACGAAACACGGCCGCACAATCCTCTCTCTTCTGGAAAAATGCAGAAGCATGAGAGAGCTGAAACAATTACATGGGCTGATGATCACCACCTCACTCGACAGAAGCATTGTCCCCTTGAGCAGGCTTATCGATTTCTGCGTGAACGCTGAATCTGGCGACCTCGGCTACGCGGCATTAGTTTTCATCCAAGTCGACCGGCCCAGCGTATACATATGGAATTCCATGATCAGAGGCAACTGTAACTATAACAACCCAGATGGGGCTTTGTCCATGTATAAGAAGATGCAACATCGGGGCTATTCGCCGGACCATTTCACCTTCCCCTTTGTGCTTAAAGCTTGTGCGATGGTTAATGATCATAATTATGGGACGTGTGTTCACAGTCGGATTGTGAAAACTGGGTTCGAGTCGGATATGTATGCTTCTGTTAGCTTAACGCACATGTACGTATGTTGTGCCGATATGGAGGCCGGAGAAAGGCTGTTTGGGAAAACTCCCAAGTGGAATGTAGTGGCTTGGACTACTCTGATTGCTGGATACGTCAACAATAACCGCCCAAGCAAGGCTATAAGAGTATTCAAAGAAATGGACCTTCAGAAAATCGAGCCGAACGAGATCACCTTGGTAAACGTTTTAGTTGCCTGTGCACAGAATAGAGACATAGAAAGTGGAAGATGGGTCCATGAACGTGTTCGCCAAAGTGGGTTTGATCCATTCCGATCAAATGCAAATGCAAATTCAAATGTCGTTCTTGCCACAGCCCTCATGGACATGTACGCGAAATGTGGTAGCTTAAAGGTGGCAAGGGATCTGTTCGATAAGATGCCTCAAAGAAATGTTGTTGCTTGGAATTCCATGATAGGTGCCTATAATCAATACGGCCGGGCAACCCATGCCCTGAATCTCTTCCTGCAAATGCAAATGGCCGGGTTTGAGCCGGACGAAGGGACCTTTTTAAGTGTGCTGGGGGCCTGTGCCCATCTGGGAGCTCTGGGTCTGGGTCAAGGACTCCACGCTCATGTGGAGAAGACCAACATTGGCAAAGATGTTGCTATAGGAACTTGTCTCATGGACATGTACGCTAAAGCAGGAGACACACGGAGTGCAGTCCATGTATTTAGGAGTTTGCCAGAGAAAGATGTGAAGGCATGGACAAGTATGATCATAGGCTTAGCGATGCATGGTCATGGCGAGGAGGCACTAAGTCTGTTGAAAGAAATGCAAGGGAGTGATGATGTTACCCCTGATCACATCACATACATTGGAGTTCTGTGCGCATGTAGCCATGCAGGGTTGGTTGATGAGGGCTACAAACACTTCAACTCAATGAGGAATGTGTATGGCATAGAGCCCACGATAGAGCACTACGGCTGCATGGTTGATCTTTTGAGTCGAGCTGGCCGCCTGAAGGAGGCGGAACAGCTGGTTGAGACGATGCCCATGGAGCCGAACCTAGCCATTTGGAGTGCTCTTCTGAATGGTTGTGAGGTCCATGGCAATGTCGAGTTGGCTGATCGAGTGGGAAGGCATGTAACCCAGTTGGAGGGTCAGGGTGGCGGAGTTTATGTGCTGCTTTCCAATATATATGCTCAGGCAGGAAGATGGCAGAGAGTGAACATGACTAGACAGTTGATGAGGCTTAAAGGGATTGAGAAAACTATAGGATGTAGTTCCATACTTCCATTGAGTTCATCATGAATTCCCTCCAAAGGGGTTGTTTGGGTGTTTATTTTTCATTTTTTCTTTTTAGATCCTAAAGTTTGGTTATCGTATCGGGAGCACCCTGATACGCCCCAACAGAGGGCGTGTCAGGGTTTTGGCTGGTTGAGACTTGAGAGGTGGAGGTACCTTAAACTGGCCCCCTGAAAGTTTTAAAAAATAATACTTATACTGCCTAATACGCCTTGATATTAAGCTTTTACTAATGGACTAATGTGATGATTTGAACAACTATTTTTTTGAAACTGAACGGGTATTACTGGTTTTTAAAAATCCTTGAACCTAAATTGATTTAAAGCTTAGCAGAGAGTTGCATCAATTATCGCAACCCAAAAGAAGCCGACTGGACCAGGCAAAGAAAACCCTATAAAAAAGACTCATCAACGGAAGAGAAAGTAAGAGAACATAGAAGTCTCTACTCGAGGACTGCGGCTTCCGAAGCGTCTGCACTAGACGAAGAAGATTTGGAAGCTCCGGTGGCATCGTTGTCGTCGGGATCCCGGGTAGGGTCGGCCTTGTCCGTCGCCTCCTGGGCTTTGTCCAGAAAAGGCTTGAAAGCGAGCTCCATGGTTAGATATCCGAAAGCCAAGGCTCCGAACACCACGATTGCCGATTTCATCGAATTCACCTTCGTTGATTGCTTCATTTTCCTTCCCCTCCCCTCCACTCAGTGAGTCAGTTCTTCTCTCTTATTCGGCTTTCCTCTACTAATTTGGTCCAACCATCTTAAATAACCCTAACCTTCTGATCTACGATGTATTCTTTTCAAATTTCAACGGCTCGGAAATGGGTATGAGTGTATAACCATGATATCCTCAATTTGAATGGTTGTGAATTTGTGATAGCTCAATTGGATCATCAATGAATGATTTCATATTTGGGTCATCACCTCACATTTTGGTTAGGGATGTTCACGGTTTGGTTAACCGAAGCATGACCCTTTTTTGTAAATCAAATTAGTGGTATCCGTTTTTTTATTTTTTCAAATCGAAACCGAATACTATTGATTAATCGATCTGCCAGTTTCAGTTTTTGACCCATTCAATTCTTCGGCTTTTTATATTTATAATATAATATTATAAATAATAAATGATATATAATATATTATAAATATTTTTAAAATATATAATATATTTATAAATAGATCATTATGAATATAATATAAATATATATTTATATATAATACATAAAAAATATGGGATATATATTAAAAATTTATATATATCAATCATTAACTGTTGGTTTTTTATAGGTTAACTAAAAATCGAATCGGCCCTTCGATTTTTTGATTTTTTATGGACATCCCCCTGGCAAGTTTGGATCTTTTATATTGAGAGAGAAACGCATTGGTTTGGTATCGTGTCGAGAAACATTGGCCCCGCAGCGCGTACTCCGCCGCCATCCTCAGCCATTTGATCTTACACAGTCCTTCAATAACACTGCCAGTGCTATTTAGCTGAAGCAAGGTATCTTCTTTGTTCGTGATTTTCGTTTTTCTTTTTCTTTGGATGAATTTCGTTTTTTCGCTCTACTGGGGTTTCTTGACGATCAATGTCTCCGATAAATTTGCAGTTAATTTCAAATGAGACCTTGTAGACAATTAGACATTGATTAAATTGCCGCAAATTCGTGTGTCGTATCGAAGACCACAAGGTTCAGAGCCAGCTTTAGTGAGGTAAGCTTGTATTCCGCTAAGGATTAAAAATGGGTTTCATAATAGCTAATGATGAAAATCTTATAATGGAACACTTAACAATTTTTACTGCACTTTATTTATCTTCTTATGCTGTAACAAAATTGACTTAATTTTTTGTTCTAACCATTCAGTAAGTTGAGTTATTGGTTCGCTCGGTTCATGCCAGAGTTAGACCATCTATTAACAATCTGACATGAATTAGATTTTGTTCTTCGAGCATTTGGATAGTTCTGTAGTTTTCATATAAATGATTGTCATTTCCAATCATTTGCTGTGTACCATCTTTTAGCTAATTCTCCTTAGAAACTTGTTCTGGGAAGATATACCCCTCATGGCATTTAATTCCTATACCCATTGTTTATATTATGTAAATATTGAAGTTTGTATGTATTGGATCTTGAACCATGGATTACTGAAATATAACACAAAAACAACTTGTATACAACTTCAGTACAGAATTTACATTGAAAATTGGAGTAGAAAACATTGTTATAATTTCAGTTTTAAATGTCCAGGTAACATAGATTTTGAACACTAATAAAGGTTGGTATTTATCAAAAAAAAAAAAGAAAAAACAATAATAGAGGTTGGTAAATTTTGTAGGCTGATTGAACGGTTTGTGTAATCCATATTGCTTGCTTATCACCCAGGCTGTTTCCCTTTCGTCTGAAATCAACTAGACAAATCTTATTTGGCCAAGTAACATTCAGCATTGAAGCATACACCTTTAAAGGGTATTTACCTTTACACATGCTAATTAAACATGTCATGGCTTCCTACTTAACTGTCTTGGATAGCCCAAACAATTGTATGTTGGCCTCCTCTGCTATTTTTAGGAGACAAGTGTTTCTGAAAAGACAATAAGATGAATTCTGACAGCATTGTCTAAGAAATTAAGAGAAAAATAATAAGGGTTAAGAAGGATTGATCTTGCTGGAATTAGCTCTGGCATCCATATATAAGAATTTTACTAAGAAATAGAATATGAGGCATTGAGACTCCAGTGTGTGTTTGGTATCAGCATGGTTTTTAAAAACGAACCGGTGACCGAACCGGTCAGGGGTCTGGTTACCAGTTCGAACAGTCCGACCGTTCGACCCGAACGGCCGGCCCGTTCTGACAAAAAAATAAAAAAATTGGAAAACGGTCAAAACCGTTCGAACCATTCGAACGGTTAACCGGCCAGTTCAGCAGTTTGCTGACCACAATCAATGGTTTTAGGGGAAAAAGGGGTTTTGGAGGAAAACGGAACCTCCCGGTTTTTTCGGTCCTACCGTCCGGTCCTGTCTGGTTTTGAAAACAATGGGTATCGGTATTGGACCTCCAAAGCGGTTGGCATCAAAACTAAACCAGAAAGAACTAAAATGCAAAATTTTAAAAGTTTATGTTCTTATACTTGTGGATCTTACATAAACTTCTTTCCCTGCTTGAAATTCTCCTAAACATTCCTGACATTTTTTTTAATCAGAAACGGTAACTTTTGTTAGAAAATATTTAAATAATATATTGTCACCACCCAGATAAGGGTGTTGACCCCTAGAAGAATGCTTTCAAATTACAGAACAGCCCAAAACAAGTTCTCCCTGAAAGTTCCTAAACATGTAGCTGTTTCTTAAACATTGAATTTAGCCAAACTAAATCCTAAAACTAATAAGACTTCTACCTTAAAATGCAAACAACCCAAAAAGATTATAATTACATCAATGGACTGTAAGTTGTTTGCTTGTTTGACCATAATTTGTTTGAATCTGAATTGCATGTCTGACTTGTTTGCTTGTTTGACCATAACATGTAACTGTTTGATTTGTCTGAATTTCATTTGTCATCTCTGTCAAATGAAGTAAGTTTCAGGGGTCGGAGACTAGGAGATATGGGAACCAGCATTGAGAACCCTAATTTATCAAGTTTACAGATCACAAGTATGAAACTTAATGAATATAACTTCAGAGAGTGGTCTATTTCAGCTAGACTTTTCATCACTGGAAGAGGCCTACTGGGTTATATTGATGGTAAGGCTAAAGAACCTAGTGAGGAAGATCCAGAATACAAGAATTGGTGTCAAGAAAATGCAATGGTGATGTTGTGGCTGTTATCCTCCATGACCCCAAAGATTGCAAGGACAGTTCAGCGTTTTCCCACTGCTGCCAAAATCTGGGAAAAGATCTCGAACACCTATGGACAACGGAATAACAATATGAGGCTCTATAGGTTGCATCAGGACCTGGCAGCCCTGAGACAGGGGGATATGTCAGTAGCCACATATTTTGCTACATTGGAAGGACTATGGGAAGGGCTTGACTACCATCAAATTACCGTCAAGCTGGTTGAACAAGGAAGAATATTCAAATTTCTTGCTGGATTGGACCCCATATATGAAGGTATAGGGTCTCAAATTTTGGGAAGAAATGAGCTTCCTGATCTCCAGCATGTCTACTATCTTATTAAAAATGAAGAGATGAGAATAAAGGAAATGCAAATGGAAACACCTATTTAGCCCATGGAACAATCAGCTCTTTTCTCATCTAATGCAAAATATGGGAAGCATATTGACAAGAGAAGCTTGAGGTGTAATCACTGTGGAGGGGAGAAGCCTCAGAAGTCACAAGATGCCTCTAGGAATGTGACCACATCCAGTGTTGCAGAAGGGATACCTAGAAACTCTACTAGTAGTGTGGCACCTCCTTTGGGACAAACTTCTCCTAATGTTCGGGGATGCCTTCTTGATTTCACAGCCAAAGAGGTGGAAATTCTAAATAAAGCTATGGCTTGCTTAAAGAGTAATTCCTTTGCTAAGTGAGGTATAGCCTTTGTATTAAGTGTTACTCTCCTAGCACTTGAGTTATTGACTTGGGAACCTTTGATCATATGATTGGTTTATCATCCCTATTTTCTACATATCAATTCTCATCTAAACATGATAAGGTTAGGGTTGCTTATGCGTCTCTTTATACCATCTTTGGGAAGAGAGATATCCAACTCAGCAATAATTTCACTTTTAATATGCCCTTCATGTTCCTAGTTGTACTTTAAATTTGTTATCTATTTCTCAGATTACAAAAAGTTTGACTTTTAGTGTAACCTTCTTCCCTACTCATTGTGCCTTCCAGGACAGGTTGATGAGGCAAACAATTGGGAGCGGTTGTGAAATTGGAGTCCTGCACTACCTTAATGAAGATATCAGTTCATCTTTACAAACATTTTGTGGTGATTGTAGTGACAATAAGGATTAAGGAGTTGGTTGCTAGAATTTATCTTTAACATACTAGACTTGGTCATGTATCATCTGCTTTGCTAATAGTTTTGTTTCCTAAATTGTTTGTTGGAATTCATTTTGGGAGTTTTAGTTGTGAAGTTTGTCAATTATCCAAGCATTGTAAGTACTTATCTAGATTCTATAAATAGTTTTACTGGTCCTTTTGATTTGGTTCATTCTAATGTGTAGGCCCTTTCACCTATTGTTTCTATGAATGGGTATCATTATTTTATTAGTTTTATTGACCATTATTCTAAATGCACATGGTATTATCTTATGAAAGGTCATGATGAAGTATCAAGAATGACCATGATTTTTCCTTTCATGATTGAAACACAATTTGTGAAGAAGCTAAAAGTACTTTGTTCAACTAATTAAGTAGAATATCTTGCTTGTTTATTAAACACATCTCTAGATGATGAAGGCACTTTACATCAATCTTTGTGTGCTTCAACTCCACAACAAAATGGAGTTGCAAAGAGGAAAAATAAACATCATCTAGAAACTGCTTGAGCTCTATTATTTCAGCATGTACTTCCTAATAAGTATTATTGGTCCCAGGTTATTCTCATGGCATCATCATATGATAGGATATCATCTAGGGTGTTAGCTATGAAAACTCCTTTTCTGTTCTTTATCCTGATCAAGATACTTTTTTTGTTACCTCTCAGAGTCTTTGGTTGCTTGTGCTTTATTTATTATAATCATCACAGACTCTCAAAATTGGATCCTAAAGCCATTCATGGTGTCTTTCTTGGCTACTCTCCTATTCAAAAGAGACACAAATGCTACGATTCTCAGACTGGTAGGAAGTTTGACACCAGAGATGTCACCTTATTTGAGTCTCAATCTTACTTTGATCTTTCTTAGAGTTCTTTTCAGGGGAGATTAGTTGACTAGAAGAGAAACTCTTCATTCCTATTTTCATAACTCCAAACTTTCCATCTTCTCCCTTTGATCTTTGTTCTAGTGATCCTCCTATTGTTATTATTCTTGCCATAGATGATAATGAGCTACAAGTCTATCAAAGAAGGAAGAAAGACACTTCAATGCATGATCAGGACTGATTGGACACCTCTCAGCATGCTTTAGATCTTCATCCTGATACTAGTAGTCATAGATCCCTTCCTTATTCAGATTTAGATATTCCTATTGTTAATTGTAAGCTAAGTTGAATACCTAAAAATGCGCTGATCAAAAAAACAAAAAAAATACTGATGTAAAAAATGCATTTCTGAATGGGGATTTATAGGAATAAGTGTTTATTAGGCTATGATATGAAAGGAAAAGTGTACTAGTTGAAGGGAGCTCTGTGTGGCCTGAACCAGCCACCTAAGGCATGGTTTGAAAGACTTTGTAAAGCAACAAGGAAGTTAGGATACAGTCAAAGTAGTTATGATCACATCATTGTTCCTAAAGAAGAATGGTGATAATAGGAGATGATGATCTAATGTATGGGGATGATATGGTGGTAATAGGAGATGATACAAGAGAGATTAAAAAACTGAAGAATTTCCTAGCTTCCAACTTTGAGATCAAGGACCTTGGCACTTTAAGGTAATCCTTTGGTATGTAAGTAGAGAGATTAGTTAAGAGCATTTATATTTGTTAGAGGAAGTATGCACTTGATCTATTGCAAGAATCTGGAATGTTGGGGTGTTGACCTACTGAGACACCTATTGAACAGAACCCTTGTATGGAGCATATCAACTTCTTCGCCAACGTACTTTTGTTATCTACTATGTAGATATACAGTACTTCATATGGCCTAACATGTGAATGGTAAACAAGGTTGTTATGCAATTCTGATCCCAACTATCTAGGGTCTTGGGAGTGGTGGACTGGATATGGACCTAACCCCTGGGATTTTTACTTTTTAGCACATGGCCATTCTCAGAGTAAAACCCATGTTTTTATGCTTGTCAGCCCAAGGTTTTACCATTCCACCAAACAATAGAGTGGTATCATTTTTTTTTGTCATAAATATATAACATCCATATTGTTGAGTGTTGACATGGATGTAGATAGACAAGCAACAGAAGTTGGTTTGTGATAGATTCACTTCAAAAGAAATCTGAAACTCTGAGCTGATTCGAGGGAGCTCACCCTCCTAACAAAGTAGGAGTAGGAAGAAGGAAGGAAGGAAGGAAGGAGAATAGTAGGGTTTTACTTCTCATGCCAACTAGATCGGATTACAATTATTTATACTCTCCTCTCTCTCACTCCTGCACATGGTTACAACTGCCACGGGTAACTAACTGGAGGGACTTGGCCTTCTCACGTAGATGAACCTCAGTGGAGTCACATGGGTGATCAGGACCCAACTTCAGTGCTCCATCTAAGCTGTAAACACACAAAATGAGGTAAAAGTTGAAGCAAAAATGAATAGAATTTACACTCAAATCATTTGAACTCCCATACTTTTGTGCCAGTGCAAATTTTCGCTGCAAATAAACCAGGCCTTGGGAGAAAGGATAAGAAAGTATTCAGATGTTAAGAGTCATATATGATGATGGGGAATTGTCAGTCTAGTTGATCTCCTAGGTGAGATTGGAAGAATTGGCTAGTGGATATTGGATCCGTTGCACTGCATTGCCTCAACTAGCTACATATTCATTGTTAATTTTCTCAGTTAATCTCCATTCTCTAGAATATGATCACCTTATGTAGTTTATATGGTGAGCATATTTGGAATTCTCTAGAATATAATCAACCTTTAGTTGCATCTGTAATTCTAACCTTTGAATCTTTATGTAGTCCATATAGTGAGCATATTTGGATCCCCTTGGCGTTGTAGTGGTTAGGGTGATATTCTTTCTGGAACAAGTTTTGTTTCTATGCCTGACATACAGTCCCTTGCCAATTCATCCTTTGGTGGTTATCCTGCTTAAGTGTTTATAGTTTAGTTTACCAAGAGTTTTCTTTCTTTTGTTAAGACTGAAAATCTTCGAAAACTTATTTGTGGTGTCCTAGAATCCTCAGTGTCCAAATTTTGAGGCATCGTACAGATATACATGATTACATGCATATATTCGTTCGTTATAGTGTTTTTAAAACTGGACTGGACCGGACGATCGGATCAGAAAAACTGAGAACTGGTCACTTGACCGGTTCCATTTTACCCCAAAACTGCTTTTTGACCAAAAACTGTTGATTTGGTCAGTGAACTGCTGACTTGGGCGATCGAATCATCAAATCGTTGACATAGACAATAGTTTTTGGTCATTTTTTTTTAATTTTTTATTTTTTTTGTTAAAGCGGGCTGTCCATTTGGACTGTCCGACCCAACAACCAAATCTCAGAATAATTCCCTGTCTGGTCCGATTTTAAAAACCTTGAATTCGTATATTTATGCATTGCATCTACCTACTCACCCACCTACATAGTGAGAATGGGAATAAAGGGTTATTTTGTTCTTATCCTTGTAAGTTCAGTAAGAAAAAGAAAAAGGCATTACCCAATATTGGTCCCACCTCTCTGCAGTCATGCGAGGGGTGGAATGGATATGGACCAAATCTTGCATTTTTTTTTGTCACGTGGATGCTCTCAGATTGGGTCTAAGTTCAGTAATGATGCTAAGTTATCTTCTTCTATGCATTTTAGTTACCAAGTAGAAATCCTCCCCTCAAAAAATTGTTGCACTTATGACCACACTTTGGATGTTGAGAGCTCCCATTCGCTTCATATGGTAAAATCGTATGGTATCTTGTTGTCAAGTTCTCTTTGGGAGTTCCAGAGTTGCAGTATTTTTGTCTTGGGCATGGCAACAGGTCCTGCCTATTAGGAGACAATTCTCATGGCTGGGCTGTAGTTTACCTCCTCTATCACCTGTTTACCTTGGTAAAATAGCTGCTCAGTCTTATTTAGACCTGTTCATGGGCCGGACCAAGCTGGGTTTGAGCCGTTCTTTCTCTTTGTATTTATAGAATATACTCGGGTCTGAGCCCAATCAGAAAATTAGAAAAATAATTTTTTTCTTTTTTTATTCAATAAAAACTGTTTTGTTTATAAAAATAATAAAAGATCTCACTATTACTTGAAAACGATAAGAATAATAAAGAAAAAATATTATATATATTATTATATAAAATATATTTTTATTATATTAATACATTATCAAGTTGGGCTCAAGCTCCGAAAAAAGGTTCCAATGTTTTAGGCCTAAGCCCGAGCCCGTGGGCCTGATATCTTGTCCAAGCCCGACTTAGATCAGGTTGGGCCCGACTGGCCCATTGGGCTAC